ATAGCAAACTTACCATAAAGGGATGCCAACTGTGAGTAATTATATCCTTGGAGGTTTCATCACAAATTGTGCTTCCATATCGAGGCATTAACCATCTACTGGTGCCATCTTTGTGACATATTGACTTTCTATGCCAATTATAGAGTCATAGAGATGTCCAGCACAGAAACAGACCCTCTGGTCCAACTCATCCAGATATTCTAAATTAATGTAGTCCCATTTGCCAGCATTCGGACCATATCCCTCTTAAACTCTTCCTATTCATATACCCATCCAGATACCTTTTAAATGTTGTAATTGTACTCACCACTTCGTCTGGCAGCTCATTCCATACACACATCACCTTCTGCGTGAAAAAGTTGCCCCATAGGTCCCTTTTAAATCTTCCCCTCTCACCTTAAACCTGTGCCTTTTGTTTTGGACGCCCCTACCTGAGGAAAAAGACCTTGGCTATTTACTCTGTCCATGCCCCTCATGATTTTATGAATTTCTATAAGGTCACCCCTCAGCGTCCAACACTCCAGGGAAAATAGCCCCAGCCTATTCATCCTCTCCTTATAGCTGAAACCCTCTAACACTGGCATCATCCTTGTAAATCTTTTCTGAACCCTTTCAAGTTTCACAACATCATTCCTGTAACGGGGAAACCAGAATTGTACGCAGTATTCTGAAAGTGTCCTCACCAATGTCTGGTTGAGCTACAATATGATATCCCAATTACTATACTCTGTGTTCTGATCAATGAAGGCAGTTATGCCAAACGCCTTCACCACTCTGTCTACCTGCAATTCCACTTTCAAGGAACTATGCACTTGCACCCCAAGATCTCCCAGGGCCCTACCATTAACCGTATAAATCCTGCCATTGTTTGCTTTACCAAAATGCAGCACCTCACATTTATCTAAATTAAACTAAATCTGCCAGTCTTCAACCATTGGCCCATCTGATCAAGGTCCTGTTGTACTCTGAGATAATATTCTTCACTGTCCACTACATCCCCTATTAGTTGGAAAGTAAACAGACTCATTATCTAATTAGATGATGCTTGATTATCCCATTTTCAATATTTTTATTTACGGTAAAGAAAAATGTTTGAAATGAATTCTGATAAAACACAACAATTTAGAAACATCCCTCTGATTTTTCTCCGGGATTGTAATTAGCAGTGTGCTGGAGATTGATCTTTCATTTCTGGAGAGTCCAAGGCAATTCTGAGGGGTTGACAACCCTATTACCATAGAGCATGTCTTTAGAGAAGCAGCCTTCATCTGCTTGGTTTGTCTACCATGACCCAGCCAAAGTAGTTGCTGCTGATTCATGAGAACAAGCATGCCAAGTAATAGCTTGGTAATGATTGAGAGATGACAGAAATATGAAATAAATATTTTACCAGGCAGACATGTGTATTGAATGATGAGATCAGCAGTAAGGTTAGTACATTTAAAACAAACTCAAAGATAATACAGCTTAAATCAGGATGGATTGGATTTTCGTATGTCAAAAAAACCTTGAGAGGAGATTGCAGAGCCTTTGGCCTGTCTGACCAAGGTCCCGTTGTCATATTTAATAATTGATTAAAAAGATGTTGTGCTCTTCCTCCAGTAAGTTGTTTAATCCTCCACCACTATTCATGACTGGATGTGGCAGGATTGTAGAGCTTAGATCTGATCCGTTGGTTGTGGGATCGCTTAGCTCTGTCTGTCACTTGCTGCTTATGCTGTTTGGTGTGCAAGTAGTCCTATTTGGTGACTGCACCAGGTTGACACCTCATCTTCAGGTATGCCTGGTGCTGCTCCTGGCATGCCCTCCTGCCCTCTCCTTTGGACTAGGGGTGATCCCCTAGCTTCATGGTAATGTTTGAGTGGGGGATATGCCGGGCCATGAAGTTACAGATTGTGCTGGAGTACAATTCTGCTGCTGTTAATGGCCCACAGCACCTCGTGCCTGTCCAGTCTTGAGTTGCTAGATCTGTTCAAAGTCTGTCCCATTTAGCATGGTGATAGTGCCATACAACATAATAGAGGTTATTCTCAATGTGAAGGTGGGACTTAGTTTCCACAAGGACTGTGTGGTGGTCACTCTTACCGATACTGTCATGGACAGATGCATCTGCAGCTGGCAGATTGGTAAGGATGAGATCAAGTATGTTTTTCCTTCTTGTTGGTTCCTTGTCCTCCTGTCGCAGACCCAGTCCAGCAGCTATGTCCTTTAGCACCTGACCAGCTCGATCTGTAGTCCCATAATACGATAGTTGCGTCTTGTGTGACCTCGCGCTATAGGAAATCGCCATAGAAAATCACATTATAGGGAAATCGCTGTAGAAAATCACTATACCTGTACAGCAGAAAGTTTGTATCATCCAAATAGTGTGCACTATTCATCAATCGTGTTACAGCCAATTCACGTTAACAAAACATGCATTATAGCAAAACTACCTGTACTGCTGTCAAATCGATGTTGGTGTTAGACATTGAAATCCCCCACCAAGAGTACATTTTGTACCCTTGCCATCCTCAGTGCTTCCTCTAAGTGTTGTTCAACATGGAGGAGTACCAATTCATCAACTAAGGGAGCATGGTACGTGATAATCAGCAGGCCATTTCCTTGCCCATGTTTAACTTGAGCCACGAGACTTCATGGGGTCCAGAGACAATGTTGAGGACTCCCAGAGAACCTTCCTCACATATGCCACTGTGCTGCCACCTCTGCAGTGTCTGTCCTGCCGGTTAGACAGGACACATCCATGGATGGCGATGGTGGTGCAATAAAGTTTAAATAATTGTTTCAGTAATTAATTGTCTGTAAGATTTCTTAATAAGTAGCTGAATTAAAGGCAGCTTGTGGTAATTTACCAACAATATTCTCTTGAAAAAAGTAGGTCTGTCTTGAAGGAAGACCTAAAAAGATTTTGAATAATTGCATTGTAGGAAAGAGTACTATGAGAGATTTCTAATATAATGTAGTCACCAAAAATCCAGTAGAGAATCAGAACAAACTCCTTTATTTGAAGAGCAGATTTGAGAATGTACGAGTTGTTGCAATAGGGAGTGGTTGAAGTAAATAGTATTGATGCATTTAAGAGGAAGCTAGGCATTAATTTGAGGAAGAAAAGAACAGGTTGTTATGGTGATAGATTAGATGAGAAAATATGAGAGGAGGTTGAACATAGCATCAACACTAACATGGACTAATTGGGTGGTGCATTTATAAAAGTTGGTGACAGTCCTTACGGACATGCTGAATTTCCATAACAACACACCTTCTTCCACAGGAGGCTAAGGAAATTCAGCACATCCACAAGGACTCTCATCAACTTTGGTAGATGCAACGCAGAAAGCATTCTATCTGGATGCATCATGGCTTGGCATAGCAACTGCTCTGCCCAGGACCGTATGAAACCATAGAAATGTAAACACAGCCCAGTCCATCACGCAAGCCAACCTTTCATCCGTTGACTCCATCTACACTTCTCACTGCCTTGGTAAGGCAGTCAACATCATCAAAGGCCCCTCCCACCCTGGTTATAACCTCTTCCAACCTCTTCTATCAGGCAGAAGATACAAAATCTTAAACACACATACCAATAGGTTCGAGAACAGCTTCTTCCTCACTGCTGTTAGACTTCTGAACAGACTTCTCAAATTTCAAATCTGATGTTGATATTCCTTTTTGTGACCCTTCATTCTCAGGACCCAAAACATTAACTCTGTTTTTCACTTCACAGATGCTGCCAGACCTGCTGGGCTTTTCCAGCAACTTTGTTTTTGTTAGTTATTTGTAAGTTTATTCCAACCAAATTCATTTTTCAATCATGTATTTGAATATTTGTAAGTTATTTCATCATATGAAAATACTGGACTCAAATACTTAAAAACTTTGGACACAGATTGTTTATTTTAATTCAGCATTAGTCAAGTTGTAAATACAAGTAACTAAAAATAAAAGCAAAGAATCTGAGCTATCAATTTGCTTACGGTTTGGTCATGCAATTTTGATTTGAAAATAAGCATTTGATAATAAATATCATGTAAAATATTTTCAGTTAAAGAAGGATTCATGCTCCAACAGCACAAGTTATACATTTCATTTAATTGGATTGCAAAATTCAATCTACATTACTAATTGCCTTTAAAAAAGAAGTGAAACATGTTTTACTATGATATAAATCAGTTTCTCCCCTATCAAAGAAAGGAAGCATAGAGAATAAAATCAAAGTATGTATTTTACAAAAATTTAATTGAGGATTAGAGTCAGTGTTATAGATAGGGATAGTTGCAGGGGAAATGTGTGTTGTGTCAGCGTTAGAAATGTAGGTCCCTTTAAAATAAACTAAAACAACTCCAGAGTTGAATGATAGTAGATTTTGCTCATGGTTTTTATATAAAAGTGTTGATTTTTCTCCCCAGTGTTGAGTTAGCTTCAGGACAGGACAAGAGTCCAGAGGGAAAGATGGAAATCAGTACTTGTGCTAAACTGTAGAATTACTGCAACCTAGAATACTGAATGCTTTTAACAGCTCTCTTTACCTGTCCTGTCACCCGTAATGGCTTGTGCCCCATATATATTTGTGTCTTTCTGATCACCTCACATTTCTACAGTTTAAATTTCATCTGCCATTCCAGCACAGCCAACCTATTTTCAACTGTTCACACATTCCGCTGGCATATATTCAACACTCACTTCTCTACAGGCTCACTACCAGCAATCCCTTTGTCTGATTTTTCTGTCTTTGGGCACCCATCTATTCGAATTATTCATCTTTCCCACCTCACCCTGTCATCAGTATAAATCCCATCATTTCTGAAGAAATGTCACTGGACACAAAATATTAATGCTGTTGAACTCTATTTCTTTCTCCACAATTGCTGCCTGACCTGCTGAGATTCTCCAGCACTTTCTATTTTCAATCGCTCAGGGTAACCTAACCTGTTTGAAAGGAAATATTCTTACACCCCCCGGAGGAAACACCAGGAATAGAAATAAAACTCCAGAGATTACATAAATGCAGAAATGGATTAAATGACGCTCTGCGATTAGGAAAGGAATCAGGATTACGGGGCGAAAGGAGGAGAATAGGGTTGAGAAACATATCAGTCACGATTGAATGGCAGAGCTCCTGTATCTTATTATCTTATGGTCCTGTGATGTGTTATTTTTCAGTAAGGGCAGCCTGTTAATGTTAGAATGTTCACAATTGAAGGTGGATCCAACAATGTTCCATTGCCACTGTAATAGAAAACATTTCCGCATCTTAATTGGAGAAAGAGTCCAGAAGGGAAAGGTCGGAACTGGCATTTGCTCTAAATTATAGGCGTAGAATAAAACTTTTGTAAATCTCTAAAAATATTTTGCTGATAATTATGCCTATCTGTCTGTTAAACATGTTGTAACAGTTTTTCAGCTTACATGTGCATTTATGGCAGGATCTCATCAAAACTAAGACTGTGTTCAGAGGATTAATATATTACATCCACACCTGTGTCAACTTTTCAAAACATACATTTCTAAGATTGCAATGAAAATTTTCCATATAAACTTGTCTTTATAATTATGCCTTCTTCACTGAGGACATGAACATTTAAAATTAAAGTACACTTATTGGTACTGGGTTATTAATTCATGCCTTGGTCCAATTATTCTTGTTCACTTTCAATGTAATTACTTTTCACCCCCACATTTTGCAAGCTATTTTCACTCGTTAATTAGGATCTTTTTGCCCACATTACTGCTTGACAGAGAGAGGATTTTTCCAGAGATCTCTATCTAAGCTAAAATTGCTCTTGCACCAATCAAGAGGATGTGGATAGGGTGGCTCTGTTTCACAGCTCAGGGAACCCAATAACAATGTGAAGAAAAATGGACAGGTAAAGATAATCCATGACATATTGAAATAACACATCAGATATAGACCTGGCCCATGTCATATGTTATCAGTGCATGCACCATAGATGTCCAATGACCAACCTCAGCATGATTCTTTTTATCTCTTGCGGAAGAAATTTGACTACATTCATAAGATAATGTTGCATCCAAGTGTAACATAAAAAATTGTACGCAAGAAATGGCCAGTTGGTCCATTAAGCTTTAACATAATGACTTAATATTTCAGCTTTTTCCCCTGAATCTTCCCCCAACTCTTTCCAGCCCCAACTGTTTTTCACATCACTCATTCTCCCGGTCTCTACCTGAACCCTCCCCACCTGTTCTTCAAGCTTCCCCAGCCTCCCCTATTCTCCCACCCCTCATTACATTATAATCTGCTGGGAGATGCAAAGCTGGATATATCATGTAATCTTCACATAAATAGTACTGTCATCCAAAGTAAGAACTGCAGCAGTGATGAAAACAGACTGAGATTCATTCAGTTATAGTATTGACACCATGTCAAAGATTAGTTGTGTTAGGTTCTGTTTAATTAAGTATTGAATGAGATACTTTGGTGAAACATTTTAGTTTGTCTCGTTATTTATCTTACAAGTAATGAGATTGTAGAACACTGAGTCTGTGCACATATGTATTAATGCTGACATCAAGCCTGGAAAATCATCAAGGTTGCTAGAAGGCTTAAATGGAGCAAAAGTACCAACACTGATTAATTGAACTGAATGACCAATTTCTGTGCTTTACATTCAATTTTTGTTACATCTTGTTTCTTTACAATCACTGTAATTCTGTTTAAAACCAATTCTAATCCCGCTTCCTTATACTTAATGTTTATTGAATTAGTTTGCTTGTTTGATGTTTAAAGATGCAATCTCATCGTTTGTTATTTGGATTCTTTCTCTGTGTCTTCTCATGGTGAGCTGTTTTCTATCAGGTTATTGCTCCATACTTCAGCTTCAATGGCTTCTTTTGGCTGCCCGTGTAAATATGAAAACTGCTTCTTGCGTCTGAAGATTACAGATATAAATGTTAGTCAAGTGCAGAGTGGGAACTACAGGTGGTTCCTAGGTTGCAAACAGATTCCATTCTAGAGACCATTTGCAAGTCAATTTGTATGCAAGTAGGAACACAATGCAGAATACAAATTGCCGTTTGTAAATACGGAAAATGTTCGTATGTTGGATCTTTAAAATTAACCCCTATATGGGATTGTGTTTCTAAATATGAGTGTTTTTAAGTTTGGGTGTTCACAAATCAGGGATACCTGTACTATAAAGAGCTTGACACTTACCCACACATATTACTTATGAATGATGTAAAATAGTGAAAAACAGAAATCTCTTAAATGTGTCTTTTTTCTGTTTTCTACAGCTTTCAAATGAAAGTTACATAATTCATCCGGGCTCCACGGAGCAGCAATGTGTATTTAGCTCGTTAATATAGATAAATAACTACAATTCACATTTATATAACACCTATAAAGTAATTAAAATGTCACAAGGTGATTTACTGGTGCACTAAAAAAACAAAATTTAATACTGAGCCCCACATAAGGCAATAATATTAGAGCTAAAGTTTAGCCATACAGGTAAGTTCAAGAAGTTTCTTAAAGGAGGAAAGAAAGGTTGAGAGACTGAGAGGTGTAAGATCCAAACTTGGGAGGTTAGGGCTCTGACAGCTGTAGGTACAACTACCAATGTTGGAGTGATTAAAATTAGAGATGTTTTTAAAAACCAGAATTAGAGGATACCTCGGGGCATGTGGCTGGAGGAGATTACAGAGATAGGGAGAGACATACCAGGGATGTATGTGAAAACAAGACTTGACATTTAGGAAGGCCAGGGAGCTAGGAAAAGGTGGATTAAGTTCTGTTAATTATGATTGGTATTAGCACAAGAGAGAGGGATGACCTAAGTTCAAGAAAGTAGGATGCAGAAGCCTTTTGTGTAGACATGAGAAATGATAAAGGCAATAGACACTTTGTGGGAGTGGTGCACAAACCCCTTACAGGAGCCACATGGTAAATTGGAGCATAAAGGAAGAAATAGTGGGAGTTTGTCAGATAATCATGATGTTTGTAATCTACTTATAGCCTGCAAAAAGCAGTGACTATAGAACGATTGAATTGAATTTTATATTCTGTTTGAGCGATAGGTGTGTATCAAAGTTTAATATTTTAAAATTAAATAAGGGTAATTATACATGCAAGCAGAACTAGTTAAAGTGAACTAGCAAATTATGTTAAAGTCAATTGAGATGCAATGGCAGACATTTAAGGGAGTATTTCAAAACAAACTGAATAGATCCTTTCACGTGAGAAAGAAAATTTCCAATGGGAGGATCCACTATCCATGGTTAACCAAAAGTGTTAAAGTATCAAACTTTAAGAGAAAGCACGTAATTTACACAAAGGTGGGTGGCAGGTTAGCAGATTAGACGAAAATAAAGAACGTCACAAATGACTAAAAAAATTAAAAGGAGGGAAAAATTAGAATATAAGAGAAACCACGCTCAAAAATATAATCAGATAATAAGAGTTTTTGATCAATTCTTTTAAAAAAATGAATTAACAAGGTGAACACTGATCCTGCAAACAATTGAGATTGAGGAATTACTAAGAAGAAGTAAGGTGATGGCAGATGAACTGAACAGGTATTTTGCATTGGTCTTCATTAGAGAGGGTATAATTAGCATCACAGAAATAAGTGTGATCAGGAAATTGACAGGAGGAAGGAATTCAAAAATATTACAATTACCAGGCAAAAAGTTGAGGTCAGACAAGTCTCTGGGTCCTAATGAACATCAATTTAGGACTTTAAAATAAAAGGCTAGTGAGATAGATGATGCATAGATTTTCATCTTCCAAAATTCCTTAGATTTAGAAAATGTTCTTTTAAATTGGAAAATAACAATATAACTTCTTTATTTAGAAAGGAAAACTGAAAGCAAGAAACCACAAACGAATTAGCTTAACATCTGTTATAGGAAGATATTGGTAGTTATGAAGAAAGGCATTATGACAGAGCACTTAGAAAATTTCAAGGTAATCAGGCAGATTCAACATGGTTTTGTGAAAGGGAGATCAATGTTTAATGAATTGTTTGGAGTTCTTTCGGGACATAACATAACCAAAAATTTCTAGGAGGCATTTGATAAAAAAACATATCAACAGCTTTTGTGAACAGTAAAAGATCATGTGTAGAAGGCAGCATATTGGCCCAGACAGAAGATTGGCTATCTAACAGGAAATGGAGAGTATGAAACATAAATGGATTATCTTCTAGTTGGCAAGATGTAATATGTGGTGTGTCACAGAGTTCATGTGCCAGAGCCTTAACTTTATAATTTATGTAAATGCTTGGCTGAAGAGACCAAAGGTATGGTTGCTGAATTTGTCAACGTCACAAGGATAAGAAAGAAAGTAAGTTGTGAAGTGGACATAAAGGAGCTACAAAGGGATGCAGATGGATTAGGTTAGTTGAGTGGGCAAAGAACTGGAAGATGAAGTATAATGTGGGAAAATGTAAAATTGTCTATTTTTGCAGAAAAAATAAAAGAAGCATATTATATATGGTGAGAGACTGCAGCACTCTGAGATGCAGAGGGATCTGGTGGTTTTAGTGCAAGAATGACAAGACGTTGGTATACAGGTATAGGAAGTAAATAGGAAAGCTAATAGAATATTACTAATTAGTGAGATCACACCTTGGATATTGTGAACAGTTTTGTTTTCTTTATTTAAGCAAGGATGTACCACATATTGGTAGTGTTTTACAGGAGGTTTACAAGATTGTTATCTGAAATGAACAGGTTGCTTATGGGGATAGGTGAATGGATTGAGCTTGTTACCACTGGAGCTTTTAAGAATTAGGGGTGACGTGTTTGAAATATATAAAATCCTGAAGCTTCTTGACTGGGTGCTTGTGGAAGGGATGCTTCTTTTTGTTGGAGAATCTAGAATGAGGCTTCACTGCTTGAAAGTAATGGGTCACCCATTTCAGATAGTGATAAGAGAAGTCTCTTACTCACAGAGGTTTGTGAGCCTTTGGAATTCTCTTTCTCAAAATGTAATGGAATTAGTGCTCTTAATTTTTTTAAGATAGAGTTGGATTAGCAAGGGTATGAAATGTTATTGAGGGTAGGAGGAAATGTGGAGTGATTAAATCAGCTATGATCTTAATGAATGGTGGAGCAAGCTCAAGGTAATGAGTGGCCTACTCCTGCTGCTAATTTGTATAAGAGTGACGGATTGAAATCTAATTGTTGCTTGACCTGGAGTCAGCAAGCACAGGAGTGACAGGGAATGACACTCACTGTAAGTTAAGACATGGGGCATTAGATAACCTCAGGTTTATGCAGGATGGAGTGTGAGACACCATTCAGGAGGGCATTTAAATAGTCAAGTCTATGGGTAGCAAAGAGCATGGATAAGATTTTCAGAAGCAGATGAGCTGAGACAGCAATGAAGTTGAGAAATATTACGGAGGTGAGAGTAGATGGTCTTAGAGATGGCATGAATATGTGTTTGGAATCTCAACTCAGGATCTAATGTAACAACAAAATTGCTAATAGATTAATCGAATCTCTGCCTGTTGCCACAAGAAAGGATGGAAACAGTATGTGGGAAAAGGTGTTTAGAGCATGGACCAAAAACAATGGCTTCAGTCTTCCTGATGTTTAATTGGAGGATGTTTCTGCTTATCCTATACTGGATATTGGATATTGGATAAACAGTCTGACAATTTAGCAACAGCAGAGACATACTGCTGAGCTAGATCTGAGTGTCATCAGTGCACATTGCTAAGTGGATGATCTATCTAGGTTTCCAACATCATGGATTGAACCCAGGTCCCTGGCACTGTGAGGCAGCAGTGCTAGCCACTGACCCACCGTGCCACCCTGTGAAATGGAAGTGACTGCCCTTGCTCAGCATAACATCAAGTAACCCCTTAGCAAAACTTGAGTCGCTATTGTAAATTGGGAAACTACATTATAAGATATGACAGTAGAAAGGGAATAGTTAAGATTTATAGAAATACTACATAATTTATGACAAAAATATATTCTTTCAACGTACAAAATCCTATCAAGGAAATGGTTGCAACTGTGACTAACAAAAGATATCAGGGATAATATGAAATCAAAGAATGAGGTCTGGAAAGTTGACCAAATAATGGCCATCATGAGAAGTGGGAGCATTTTAGAAGTCTGTAAAGGAGGACCAGAAAAAAAAATTAAGGGGAACAAAGTAGGAAAGTAAACTCGTGATAAGATGTATAGTTTCTATAGGAATAGTGGGAAAAGGTGGCATAGTGGTAATGTCACCAGACATTAGTGCTCCGAAGAATGAGGCTAATGCTGCAGGGCAGGTAATGGCCTGATGGTATTATCAGTGGGCTATTAACCCAGAAACTCAGTTAATGTTGGAGGGACACAGATTCAATTCCCATTGTGGTAGATAGTGGAATTTGAATTCAGTAAAAAGAATCTGGAATTAAAGATCTAATGATGACCATGAAACCATTGTCAATTGTCAGGAAAAATCCATCTGGTTCACTGATGTCCTTTAGGGAAGGAAATCTATCATCCTTACCTGATCTGGCCTACATTTGACTCCAGACCCATACTGTGGGTTGACTGTTAACTGCCCACTGGGCAAAGGGATGGCCAATAAGTGTTGGCCTAGCCAGAGATGCCCGTATCCCGTGAGTGAATTTAAAAGAAATGGGTTTGAATCCCATCACTGCAGATGATGAAATTTCAATTCAATAAAGGTCTGAAATCAAAAGCTAACCCAACAGCAACCACATAACCATTGTTGATTGTTGTATGTGGTACTATCTGATTCACTAATGTCCTTTAAGGAAGGAAATCTGTCATCTTAACCTGGTTTGACCTACATGTGACCCACAGTACTGCTGTTTGCTCTTAACTGACCACTGAAATGACCACTTGCTTTGAGGGGCAATTAGAAATTGGGAATAAGTGCTGGCCCAGCCAGTGATGCCCACATCCCATGAACAAATTAAAAAAAAAAGATTAGCAACAACAAAGGTGGGTCCATTATAAGCAGAGTCAGGAAATTTTATAATGAGGAAGTAGGACAAGGCACATAAACTAAACAAGGTGTAGAGCTGATGAACACAGCAGGTCAGGCAGCATCAGAGGAGCAGGAAAGCTGATGTTTTGGGTCTGGACACTTCTTCAGAAAAGAGGGAGGGGAAGGGGACTCTGAAATAAATAGAGAGAGGGGGAGGCGATGATGGAAGGTAGATAGAGGAGCAGATAGGTGGAGAGAACACGGACAGGTCAAGGAGGCGGGGATAGAGCCAGTAAAGGTGAGTGTAGGTAGGGAGTTGGAATGGGGGTTGGTCAGTTGGAAAGGAGAGGTGGGTAGGTGGGAGGGAAAACGGACAGGTCTAGGAGGTGGGAATGAGACTAGTAGGTAGGAAGTGGGGGTGGGGGTTGGTCAGTGAGGTGGGAGGAGCAGATAGGTGGGAGAAAAGACGGACAGGTCAAGGAGGCGGGGACGAACTGGGCTGGTCTTGGGATGACGTCGTGGTGGGCAGATTTTGAAGCTTGTGAAGTCCACATTGAGACCATTGGGCTGCAGGGTTCCCAAGCGGAATATGAGATGCTGTTCCTCCAGCCTTCGGGTGGCATCGTTGTGGCACTGGAGGAGGTCCAGGATGGACATGTCATCCAAGGAGTGGGAGGGGGAGTTGAAGTGGTTTGTGACTGGGACTGAACAGTCTCCCAATACCACCATCCTTCACTTGGCTGAGTTAGTTCTCACTTTGAACAACTTCGCCCTTAACTTCTTTCACTTTCTCCAAGTAAAAGGTGTCATTGATGCTGCCAAGTAAAATTATGTCATTGATGCTGTTTTTTGCTCTTGTCTGGAATTGGAAAAAATGATCGGTTTTGCTTTCAATTTCCATCCTTCTCTCACCTTCTTCACTTAGTCAACACTGACTCTTCCTTCCCTTCCTTGTGAAATAACCCCAGAGAGGCCAGTATCCCATCATTTAGTTACCCTGTATTTACAAGTGGAGAGTCCTTGACACTGATCTAGCTTCCTCAGAATTAGGTCTCAGAGTGAACAGGACCTCTGACATTCCTGTTTATATCTGTCAGCCATGGGGTCCCTGATTGGATCAGATTTATAGCCCCAATCAGGGAACTCTTATTCTATGAAGTTTACCTAGCTGAAGCTGTTACAATCACTATCCTTGACTTCACTGTTTCCATTTTTGTGGTCAACTAATATAGCTTATAAACTCACTAATTCCCACAGTTACCTTGAGTACACTTCCCCTCATAGCCTGCTTCCTGCATGGAAACCATTCTATTCCCTCAGTTTTTCTATCTCCATGGTATCTTTTCTGATGATGCCCTTTCTATAGGGGTGCCTCTGACATGTTTTGTCCTTTTTCCTCAACCAAGGCTTCCCCTTCACTTTCCACTCCACCAGTCGCCATATTCAAATGATCATTTCTGCTATTTCTGTCGCTTCCAGCAGGACACCGCCACGAAGCAACAGTAAGCAACATTTGGAAAGGCAAGGGATTGAGCAGGGATAGTCAGCATAGATTTGTTAGCGTGAGGTCCTGTATGACTAATTTAACGGAGTTTTTCAAAAAAAATTACCAAATATATTGACGAGGCTGGTGCAGTTGATGTGGTTTACATGGACTCTAATAAGGCCTTTGACGAGGTCCCACATGGAAGGTTGGTCCAAAAGGTAAGAGTCCATGGGATCCAAAGTTGGCTTGCAATTAGGCAAAGGGTGAGGGTGGAGAGTAGTTTTTGTGCAGCAGTATACCACAGGGATCAGTGCTGGGACCCTTGTTGTTTCTTAAGTACATTAGCGACTTGGATTAGAATGTAGAAGGTACAATTAGTAAGTTTCCAGATGACACAAAAATTGGTGGTGTTGTTAATAGTGAGGAAGATGGTTTGCAGCTACAGTCTGATATTGATCAGCTGGTAAATTGGGTAGAGCAATGACAGATGGAATTTAATCCTGATAAGCATGAGGTCTAATAAGGACATACACAATGAATGGTAGGTCCTGAAGGAGTTCTGAGGAACAAAGGGACCATGGTGTACAAATCCATAGATCTCTCAAGGTGTAAGCACAGGTAGACAGAGTGATGAAGAAGGCATATGTGATCCTTGTCTTCATTAGCTGCGTCATAGAATAAAGGAGCAAGGAAGTCTTGTTACAGTTTTATAAAACATTATAACCTCACGTTTATCCACATTATACTTCAGCTGCCATGCAATTGCCTGCCCACTCAACTTATCCAAATCACACAGAAGCATTTCTGTATCCTCCTTTCAGTTCACTGTCCTATCCAGTGTTGTGTTGTCAGGACACTTACAAATGCAATTTCTTTTTTAATAAATTCCAGTAAGTTCATGGTCACTATTTTCAGCTTTTCATTGTAGATTTCATTTAACTTCCTGGTGTAAATTCTCAGCAATATAAATGCAGTTGTTATTGACTCAGTATCAAGGGGGTGGCATGGTGGATCAGTGGTTAGCACTGCTGCCTCACAGCACCAGGGACCTGGGTTCGATTCCACCCTCAGGTGACTGTGTGGAGTTTGCACACTCTTCCCGTGTCTGCATGGGTTTCCTCCAGGTACACTGGTTTCCTCCCACAGTCCAAAGATGTGCAGGTTAGGTGGATTGGCCATGCTAAATTGCCCATAGTGTTTAGGTGGGTTATGAGAGGATGGGTCAGGGTGGGATGCTCCAAGGGTTGGTGTGGACTTGTTGGGCCAGAGGGTCTGTTTCCACACTGTAGGGATTCTATTCAATGATTTGATGTTCCATGATTAGAGTTTACATGTCTCATGCTGCTTCAAACTCACAAACTATCTAATAGATGCAGATATTCACAACTTATATCTTTTTATTTATTTGTGGGGTTTATTTGCCTTAATGGCAACCCCAGCATTTGTTCTCCATCCTTAATTACCTGTGATAAGGTGTTGGTGACCTGCCTTCTTGAAAGCAGGCATAGAAGTTTGAAGTAACTGAGACCACTTTAGAGTCACTCTTGGGTCTTGAGTTACCCATATGTCTGTCAGAGCAAGAATGAAAGATATCCTTCTCAAAAAGACATTGTGATTGAAAGAAAGAGGCATTGAGGCACAGAGCTAATAATATCCCAATATTCCAATGACTAGAAGCGTTGGCCTATCTGATACATGGGACAATCAATTTTGCATTGTGCAGTGGTTTAGATTCTATGCATTTCAGTTAAAGATATTAATATTAATGATATATTTATGTGCATGAGACAACAATATGGACCTCCAGCCTTTGAGGAATGTTCAGCACACATCTGCCCCCATATAAAGTTGAGATTTTTAATGTCTTCTTAGAGTTGTACCGCCCATTTCAATGCTATACTCAAAACCGTAGAGGAAACTTACTTTCTGAGACAATAGACCAAAGTAGCCACAAAGATCACGAATAAAATGAATGCCACCAGACTCAAAGCTGTGAGTACATAAGGAGACAAATATTAATCACACTCAAAATAAGATGATCTGCATCAAGAAACTGCAAAATAAAGCAAATGCTAATTTTCAAATGCGAATCCATTATGTACAGAATCAGAAGAATTTCTAAGGAAATGTCAGAGAAACTGAACAAATACTTGTGTCTGTCTTCACAGTGGCAAGTATTAAAAACATCCCAGAAATAATGGGGCTTCTGTAAGTAAGGGAATGCAAAATATGAGTATTAGTTTAATAAAAGAGAGAAATTAATAGACTTAAAACAGATCAGTCCCTTGGACTGATGACCTACATCTCGGAGGTGACTGTCAAGATAGTAGAACCATTGGTGGTCTTTCAAAATTCTGTAAATTCTGAAATAATACCTGAAAGATTTGAAGGTGGAAAATGAAATTCCACTACCTAAAAAAACAGAGAGATAGACTGGGAACTATAGATCTCTTAGCCTAGCATCAGCTGGAAAATACTAGAATTTATAATAAAGAATGTGATAAAAAGACACAGAAAATAAAGTTAGAAATGGGCAGTGTGAATTATGACAGGGAAGCCATATTTTATAAACCTGTAGGAATTTTTTGAAGACTAACTGATTGGATAAATAGGAACCGGTTGATTTGTTTTTAGATTTTCAGAGGCTTTTGGTAAGGTTCAGCATGAGAGATTGGTAAACTAACTTACAACATACAGGATAGGGACGAATATACTAACACAAGGAGGCTAAGTGAGTGGGCAAAAAATTGGCAGACAGAAAACAGTGTGGAGAAATCTGAGTTGATTCACTTTGGTAGGATAAACAGAAATACAGGGTATTTCTTAAATGGTGAGGGGCTAGAAAGTGTTGAACATCAGAGGGACTTGGATGTTCTTGCTCATGAGACACTGAAATATTGCGTGTACAACAGGAACTTAAGAAGGCAAATGTTATTTTATTTAATCAACCTGTTCAGATAGGTTATACACATAACCAGGGCATGAGGGACTTAAACCCAGATCTACTGGACCAGTTGTTCCTTCCATCATATGGTTGGGAGTGGGGATATGTGCTGATGATTACACAACGTTCAGATATAACAAAACCTGAACAATACCCAGGCTTGAGCTGACAAGTGGCAGGTAATATTAATGCTACACAAATACCAGGCAGTGACCATCTCCAGTGAGAAACAATCTAACCACTGCCCCTTGACATTCAATGGATATTACCAAAACTAAATCCCCCACAATCAATAGTAGTTGTGTCCCTACCTCTAGACCAGGAGACCCTGGTTCAAGCCCCATCTGATCCAGAGGTCTGAACAGCTTGATTAGAAAATAAATGTAAGACTGAGTAATTAATAAACTCTATCCACAAATAATGAAGTTTTTGTCTTGCTGGATCTTTAAAAATAACCTAAAGGTAATTTCACCTTATGTGATTTTCAGGCTGTTTTGGGACACAAAGTACTGAACAAGTAATTTGGTAATTTTTATCCTTCCTGTGTTCTGTGCAGAAAAGGGACAGGAAAATGTCTAATCCATGATGCACCCTTCCATCATGTGAGGTTCAATGTTGGAAGCAGATATTTTAGTAATTAACGCCGATGGGTAAATCCATTCCGAAAGAGACTCTCAATTACATTTCAAATATCTTTGTTTATAATTGAGTTTTCTTGTGCATAATCAAAGTCAAACACATTGTTTTGCAACCAAAAACACCATGAATTTATTACATACCCAAACTGCATGCTATGATCCATCATAGAATCATATTATAGGCCAGTGGAGAATAAAGTGAGATTGGGGTTATCTTCTCAGAGTTGGTCTAAATGCAATGTTGTAACTTTGCTGGAAGTATAATGTAAATGTACAATGTATATAAAAAGGTTTTCCAACGAAGTAATGATATCAGAGCAGGAATGGTCTTAAGGAAATGCCTGGTCATACCCTTTGCCAGCTAGTGAGTGCAGATAGGTAGTATCTCTGTACAATACATCGCAAATGCATCTGGTATATCAATTTAGTCTGAATAGGTAGAACTTCTAGGGTAGAAGGTTATGGACTCCAAAAATTTATAGAATTGTTACAGTACAAAGGGAGGTCATTTGCCCCATCATATCGACATCTGGTCTCTGATTGAAAATCTCATCTACTGCCATTCCTTCTTTGTGACGTTCCCTCACATTCTTTCAGGTTACAATCTAATCCCATTTTGAATGTCTTCATTGAACCTACCTTCACCAGACTCTCAGGCAGTGCATACCATACCCAAACCTCTTACTGCATGAAAAACTTTGACATATCTGTCAAATCTCCTCTCAGCCTACTCATCTGTACAGAAAACAATCCCAACTCTTCAATCTATCTTCACAACCAAAGTGCCTCAACAGTGGAATAATTCTCGTGAAACTTAAGATTAATGTCCCAGTTTAAGCAATGAACCTAACACTCAAGTGAACTAGTGAGAACTGCAGAGTCTACTCTTCAGATGAGAGATCAAACAAAGGTCCTGTCATTGGAAACTAGGAGTGTTGGATTACTTTTGAAGATGAACAGAGAGTTCTCCCAGTGTTTTCACCAGATTTCCTGCCTAGGACACTACCACCAACATTTCACTGCCCCCCTTCCCCTCCCCCAGGTTATTCATCCTGTTCCTGCCCTGGGAAAAGTCCAAGGAGGGTCCAGAAAAGATTTACCAGGACGTTGTTGGGACTGGAGGATTTGAGTTATAAGGATAGGCTGGATAGGCTAGGACTCTTTTTACTGGAGTGTAGGAGGTTGAGGGATGACCCTATAGAGGTTTATAAAATCATGAGGGACATAGATAAGGTGAATAGCAAAGGTCTTTTCCCCAGTGTGAATGAGTTCAGAACTAGGGGGCATATTTTTAAGGTGAGAGGAGAAAGATTCAGAAGGGACCTGAGGGGCAACTTTTTCACACAGAGGGTGTTTCATTTGTGGAATGAACTGTCAGAGGAAGTGGTAAATGTAGGTACAATTACAACATTTAAAAGACATTTGGACAGGTACATGAATAGGAAAGGTTCAGAGGGATATGGGCCAAATGCAGGCAAGTGGGACTAGTTTAGTTTGGGAAACTTGTTTGGCGTGGACTTGTTGGACCGAAGAGTCTGTTTCCGTGCTGTATGATTCTATAACTCAATGATTCTTAGAGAATGAAATAATGGTTGGGGCTTTTTGTGGGTTTTAAGCATCCAAATTTTAATTTCCTTGAACTGTCCTCATCTGGAAGCAGAATTAATTGTCTCATGATCTTGCACAACACCTCAAAACTGTAGAACATCTTCCTCAATGCTTTATTATCACTGAAGCACTACTTCTAGATTTGCCTTGCCATCTCTTCCTTGTGAGTATAGAAACAAAAAGGCTACACCAGTCTGTGTGGGCATTTACCCTCCAACTTAAGTTTCTCAATCTAAAATAGTGATGATAGAATGAGAGAGGAATATTGGTCAAGGCCCTGTTCCTCAAAATGAACCTTTGGAATATCCATTCTGACAAGACAGGATGTGTTGGTTTCTCACCTAAGGATGCCATTTCAAACGTTACAACACTTTGGCATTTTACTTAGATTTTATCGCATGTGTAAATTAATTTTCATTTCATAGAATCTCACCCAAAAAGATAATCAAATTGCTGGAATCTTTGGAACTCTTCTCTGTAGTACAGAGCGATTCTGAGGAGGGGGTTGATTGAGGGATTGAATCAGTTGAGGTTGACAAAAAGGTATTTGTTTCCCAAGGTACCAAAGTTCTGCTGTCCAATGGGGTGATGGATTCAAAGCTGAATTCTGTTCCATTGTTCGTGTTTGTGTGACCCAGATCTGTTAATGATGTTTCTGTTGGATTCATGAACTGGACTACCTGTTCAGTTGACAGCTCACAAGTATTCATCTTCTTGGCATCTAGAGAAAGGACAAAAGTAAAGTTAGAATTAAATAAAGATTGCACAGCTACTTACTGATTTGTTAAAAAAGATATAGCTGCGTAGAACATAGGAGACATCAGCTTCTTGAGCATGTTCCTTAAATGTTTTTAGAAATTAAATCATTTGCTGTGGGTAAATCAACAACGCTGTTAGGGAGGGAGTTCCAGGACTTTAACCTAGTGACGATACATTTCCAAGTGGTGAATTGCTCGGAGGAGACTTGCAGGTGGTGGTGTTCCCATGTAACTGGTGCCCTTGTCCTTCCAGATTTTAGTGGTCCTGGGCTTGGAAGGTGCTGTCTAAGGAGTCTAGTGAATTTCTGCAGTGCATCTTGTAGATGACACACAATGTTGCTCCGTGCATTGATGGTGGACAGCGTTCTCACTAATTTTCTTTTCTTCTGCAGTCTGTGTGTGGCAGTGACATCTGTAACAGGAAGTCAAGGCCGCAAATGATGACAGCACATCGATCTCTGTACATGGATATTTGGAGGTTTTCAAACAAAGATTAGAAGTATAATCCCATTATTCTCAAAACACTTCTTTATAAATGGAGAAGACAAACAACAAATTATTCTTGTATCCAAAACACACCGCTGGTACAGTACCCAAAAACACTACCCATATACTACTCTCACTAGAGTCCCTAACTCTAGCACCCTGCTAAGTTTAAAATGCTTACTTTATAGATTGTGACTTCATTAACTTCTTCTTGGGGCAATTCATGCATCTCAGCTTAATCTACTCAGCTTTAGTGAACCTTTTCAGGGTTTTATTGTAATACCTCTAGTTTAGGACTAACACTAACTCTAATCTAATTTCACTATATCCTTTTCTTCTCCAGAGCACCGGTCTATGCAGCTATTATCCTTGGATTTCACAGGATTGTTCAAAACTCAAAGTAAATCTAAAATTTGACTCTCTCTCTAAACTATGGATATTTTCCCTAAGCTAAAGAAACATCTCTCCTGACCTTCTAAACTGGAGCTTATCTATCTTGCTGGGTTGTAAATCCCACCAGTATACACAAAAACCCATTAATTCTAAAGCTAAGCCTTAAAAAACTGTTTTAAAAGAAATCACCCTGGGTTAGAGTATACTTACAACTTAATAATTAGCTTCAGACACACAAGAAAATCCACATCTTTCACCAAACCAGAATCTAAGAACTCAAACTTGCAATAAATTATATTAAAAATAAATGTAAATCACACATTTTTTATCACAATGCACTGAGGCCAATATATTTTTCTTGCGGTGTGGTGCCCATTACATTTGGTGGACAGTTTTCTTGAAAGTGAATGCAAGTAATTGAAGCAAACCAAGGAACTTCAGTCTATTCTGTGCACTTAATGAGTGATTGCATTACTAGTATTTTAATCCCAATTTTTTTGTCCTTTCTCAGATCAGCCTCAGTAATTCTCACACTGTCTTCTGGATTAGGAAACTGTGAGTTCAACATAATAACATCGAGAATTTATGGCACATATGGATGGTTATTTAGCCCATCCAATAGTATTCCTAGTTGGCTTCTAACTCTTCCAACCCTGGCTCATAACCTTGAGTGTGGGGTCCTTAACTAGCCTTAGGGTGACTCACAAAACAACTGGATGAATACTCCAGGATCTTAATCCTGACATGAAATGGACATAAGCACAAAATAAGATCACACTGTAACCTTCAACTCACCTTCAACTAGGATGCCTGATGCAGGCCCTGGATTTGGGCCTCAGGCCTCATTAACATAAACAATTATGTTTGGTTCCTCAGGAAGCTTATCCCTTTTATTTTCATCAATGTCAGGTTGCCTGGCTTTCTCTGAACTCCTCCCACTCTATTAGCATTATATTGTTTGAAATCCCACTTTGGGATTGACATCTAAACAGGATTTCTGCCATATTGTGAGATAACAAGGTGTAGAGCTGGATGAACACAGCAGGCCAAGCAGCATCATAGGAGCAGGAAGGCTGATGTTTCGGGCCTAGACCCTTCATCAGAAATGGGGGAGGGGAAGGGTTTCTGAAATAAATAGGGAGAGAGGGGGAGATAGGTGGAGAGGAAACAGAAAGAGGCGGGGATGGAGCCAGTAAAGGTGAGTGTCGGTGGGGAGGTAGGGAGGAGATAGGTCAGTCCAGGGAGGACGGACAGGTCAAGGGTGCGGGATGAGGTTAGTAGGTAGGAAATGGGGGTGGGGCTTGAGGTGGGAGGAGGGGATAGGTGGGAGGAAGAACAGGTTAGGGAGGCGGGGATGAGCTGGGCTGGTTTTGGGATGCGGTAGGGGGAGGGGAGATTTTGAAGCATGTGAAATCCACATTGATACCATTGGGCTGCAGGGTTCCCAAGTGGAATATGAGTTGCTGTTCCTGCAACCTTCGGGGCATTGTCGTGGCACTGCAGGAGGCCCAGGATGGACATGTCGTCTGTGGAATGGGAGGGGGAGTTGAAATGGTTCGCGACTGGGAGGTGCAGTTGTTTATTGCGAACTGAGCGTAGGTGTTCTGCAAAGCGGTCCCCAAGCCTCCGCTTGGTTTCCCCGTTGTAGAGGAGGCCACAATGGGTACAGTGGATGCAGTATACCACATTAGCAGATGTGCAGGTGAACATCTACTTGATGTGGAAAATATTTTGGGGCCTGGGATGGGGGTGAGGGAGGAGGTGTGGGGGCAGGTGTAGCACTTCCTGCAGTTGCAGGGAAAAGTGCCGGGTGTGGTGGGGCTGGAGGGGAGTGTGGAGCGGACAAGTGAGTCACGGAGAGAGTGGTCCCTCCGGTAAGCAGATCAGGGTGGGGAGGGAAAGATGTCTTTGGTGGTGGGGTCGGATTGCAGATGGCGGAAGTGTCGGAGGATGATGCGTTGGATCCGAAGGTTGGTGGGGTGGTACGTGAGGATGAGGGGGATTCTGTTTTGGTTGTTATTGCGGGGACGGGGTGTGAGGGATGAGTTGCGGGAAATGCAGGAGACACGGTTGAGAGTGTTCTCGACCACTGAGGGGGGGATGTTGCGGTCCTTGAAAAACGAGGACATCTGAGATGTACGGGAGTGGAATGCCTCATCCTGGGAGCAGATGCGGCGGAGGCGAAGGAATTGGGAATAGGGGATGGCATTTTTGCAGGTAGGTGGGTGGGAGGAGGTGTATTCTAGGTAGCTGTGGGAGTTGGTGGGATTGAAATGGATATCGGTTTCTAGGTGGTTGCCCGAGATGGAGACAGAGAGGTCCAGGAAGGTGAGAGAGGTGTTAGAGATGGTCCAGGTAAACTTAAGGTTGGGGTGGAAGGTGTTGGTGAAGTGGATG